GTATCAGGTGCTGTATAAAATTAAAGTAAAAGACAGTCCTTGCTCTAAAGAACCTAGAGCCTGAAGGGTGGCGCTCTCTTGCTCAGTGGAATGGACCCTTTGTGAGCCAGGAATACAGTCAGCCCAGGCTGCTTGATAGGGATTGTAACTATGTGAGCAGGTACTAGATAAGCCCTGATACCGCTCTGTCAAACCCTTTCATTAAAAATTAATACAAACATTAGCAATGATTTAAAAATTCTCTTCAGAGAACATGACTTTTTGCACTACATGTAAGAGCGGTGCATGAAGAAGCACCAGTTATACCACCTCACAAGTACAGCCTGGTCCTGCCCTTTGGTGAAGGAAACAGTGAAAGCAATACTGATTTCAGCACACTACTTCCTAGGGTTGATGAATACCTGCATCTCCCAATGGCATCACTTACCACAATAGGTATTTAATTACAGCATCTGGCTACAGGACAGAAAGGCCAAACGCTTCATGTTTCAGGGACATTCACCTGTAATCATCCGGTTAAAATTAAATATAGTATTCAACCCTGAGCTGAGGCCAAAGTTCAGCATATGCTCCAGTTAGCTCTCAATAAAAGCCCTATCTTGGAAGCTTACAAGTGGAGTTAAATGGCAGAAAGACTCGATAGAGAGCGACTCCTACCTGCAGCAGTAGTGGCACAAGTGTCATGGGACAGGCAGCACAGTGGCAGATAGGGCATGGAGCAGAAAACAGAGAAACAGAGCAGGTAGGGAGCACAGGGCAGGGAGCAGAAAGTGGAGTAGTAGATTGGGCAGGGGAAGGAGATTAGAATAGTACTCAAAAAGTGCACAAGGCTAATTTATGGCAGTCCTGCAAAAAAGGATGGCCCACAAACAAGAACCTTGGTGTAAAACAATGCAGGCATGAAAATGTTCTTATAGAACAGCTACAATAAAAATATTAGCAAATATGAAAACGAAAAATATTCCCATGAATACAGATCTTATCCAGAAATTAACTTTGTCTGGAAATGGGAATACATTCGCAATACTTCATGCAAAATGCAGTAGCAAAGGTGAGTATTTGCTAACACCAACATGGTATCTAAGTGCCAGTCTTTAGATATAAAAGACAGAAACATAAAATCTACATTCAATATAGACCTTGCTGTTTAAAAAGGAACTTATCCCAGTCCTAGCCCATCTAAGAAATCATTCAGATAAACTCATTCATCAGATTCCAGCAGCAGATTTTCCTAGACAGAAAAGTAACTGCCATAGTAGAGACTATAATTTTCCTATAATGAAGACAAGAAATTCGTTTCCAGACAGAACATTATCCCTACGGCCAAAGTCCACCACGTGGGTATCATTATTAGGTGCAGTGAGTGATGTTTCTTTTTTAACATTACCTAGACAAAGTATTAAATTAAAAATAGTATCTTCTGCCTTTGCATTTGGCCTCTTAAGCTTGTTACCAAGAATTATAGAAGCAGTTTTGTATGTACTTTCTTGTAAAAGGAAAAATATTACTGGGCATGCATCACATAGTACGTTATTTAGAACACTCAAATGAATAACAGATCTGTACCAGCACCTTTCTGTGAAGGAAAACAGCACCTTTTTTCAGTCAGAAAGCCAATTTTGCAATCTGAGCAAAACAAAACTCCCACAGATTTCAGTGGAAATTTTTCCTCTGTAAAGGCTGCAAGAGCAGGTGCCATCAGGCTAAATGTTCACAGGGTAAGAATTGCTTCTCACCACAAATAAAGTGAGAAATCTTTTTAAGTTTGTGCAATTGGTCTTTCTGAATTGTAGCCCTACAGGTGTCCGTCTTGCCTTAGAGTGAAATAATCTTTTACACAAGCACAGTATGAGAAATCAGTAGAAGAGAGTGGAACCCAGTTTCCAGATTAGTTCCAATATTTGACAGATCTTTTCAGAAACAGTCCTTCAAGTGAAGCCTAGGGTGCACAGGTGACTATGCTTGACCACAGTGAGAATGGACTGCATGTGGAGAGTCTGCCCCCAAGCACCTGAGCTCCAGTCACCTAAGAATTGTGAGTGCTTTCGGTTAAGGAGGCAGCATATATACACATCTATACACCTAGATGTGAATAAACCCACACCATTTCAGGCACTTTTAAAACATCTGCTCTCCTACCAACCTGAAAATCCATTCAGTGTGCTGATTTGTTATCAGTTTCCTGGCCATTACTTTTATTTTCAAAGGGAGAACAGATCATTGCAGCCCTGACACAGGCATCTTTTGTGATGCCAGAAGAGACAGAAATCCCACCACTTCCTAACCCACATACTGCACGATGCTGCTGCAGCTAGAGTTAAAAAAATAAGAGCTTTTGTTACCAGGTAAGCTGCAGCTCTGTATAAAAGCACAAGAAAACATCTGTGAAGAACACCAACTATGTCAGTGGTGGAAACACCATCCCAAAGTCTGGAAACTTGCCTAGGAGGCCTCCACAGTCAGCCCCTCGCTGGTCACCTGCAGCTTCTCCCTACCTTAAAGGACCTGAGGCAAGTTTCCAATCTGATCTAACAATAAAATGATTCTTTAATGCTAAACCCAAATTTCATGTAAAAAGTCAAATTTTATCTAGGTACCAGCTTTTATTCAAGATTTAAAAGCAGGATAATAATCTCTCCCTCACTTTTCAGGATATGTGGCTGCAAACACAGGACTTTGCAAAAAATAAGATTCACAGTTTATGATGATTACTGCCTCTTCCCCTTACACAATTGGACTGAGCCAAATTAATAGCTTTACCTTAAAAAAAGGAAGATAAAGCAGTCTCTGTATTGGGGCAGCTGTTAGTATCCTCTCAGAAATGCCCTGGGAGGGAGGGGGATCAGGATAGATCCAGGCTCATGCAGTTACAGCTGCCTTCAGTGCCCTTGTTCTCAAACCTTCACAGAGATGGGATGGCAGTGGGGGAGGCATCCCACAGCCTTAGAAACACTGGGTTAATCTAAAAACACACACGTCGTATGCTACGGCTAGAGAAACTCGCCTTCCTATCTCACTTGTCATTTGCAATGTTGTATATGTTGTAATGTATATGTAACTAGCCTTAATGCAATCACAATTATTCTACATATGAGGTCCATCTACAATACAACAATGGCTTTCTTCCCTCAGTTCATGTTCAAGACTGTAGTACAGTTTGGAAATGCATGTAAGGTCCTGCCAGAGGGCAGGGAGCATTTCATGAAGGAGTTTATGGGTCCTAGTTATGCTACCGTATAGAGCCAGTTTTAACTGTGTTGCCTATTACAGTTATAGGTACAGTGCCATGTAGACATATCTATACCTTCTGAAGAGGTGAAAGGTATTTAGAATTATTTCTCTGCCACACTAGTTTAATAATTATTAAAATACCTGTAAGTGTGCCAACAAAGCTCATCAGAAACATGAACAAATGAAACCACAATCAGCTAGAAACTAAACCAGATTTGGGAAACTTTAAACAAATCAGTAGCTACATCCTCAATGTACCCAGGATATTTTTATGTACAGTAAAATCCCTGTTTTCTGGCATTTTACTAGCCAGCATACTCTGTTAACCAGCACCATGCCACCACTACCCACCACTCTGTGCCACCATGTGCAACCACTGCTGCTGCCATCCACCACCCCATGCTGCTGCTGCATGCAAGCTGTGTGCAACCCCTCCACGCTACCGCCATCCACCACCCTGTGCTACCACCACCGCTGCATGCAAGCCTCCCTGCTCTGGCTCTGGTATTTTTATATAACCAGCATATTTACATTACTGGCACCCAGATTTCCCCACTCCGTTATGCCAGATAACGGAGATTTTACTGTCTATCCAACACTGTACAGCCACACTTAATGCCCTACTGCTGGCAGAGTAAGCTAAGGAGACTGCCATAGTCTCCACCTTGGCTCTTGAGGATACCGATTCAAAAACAGCTCCAACCTGTGGCAACAGTACAAAGTTAGAAGCTATCTTTCCCATGTGACCAAAAGCAGTATATTGCAGAGACCACTGCACTTCCAGAAGGGAAGGATTTTATTAGGTCTTACAGGTAATCATATGTAATTTGACTTATCAGCAGTCATCATTGTATAGTACAAGGAGATACATCAAGTGAACTGGTGAGATCATGTTGTATGACTAAACCAGTATTAAAATGGGAGGGGAAAGGATTCTGCCAGACTAGCAAAACTGTCTACATGTGATCAACACTGCAGTCAAACTTTAAAAGCACAATACATTTTTTCAAACATATCTAGGGAATAGTCATCTTGCAGCTATATAGCTTAGGCAGACAAAAGCAGAGATACCAAAATTCCCTATTTGGCAGGCAATGCACAAAGTTTTAAAAAATTCTCTCAGAGAAAGGCCTGTACCCTCTGACATCTGAGGGATGGACTCCACCTTTTTATTAAAAATAAAATATTGAGAACTAGGGGAAAATATATATATGGTCATGTTCATCAACAAGTGAAAAGACATTTGGCTGGTAACAGGAACTGATCTGGTGGTTAATGAATATGAACTGGGTTAATTCATTATCTACCACATATATGGTATATGCTACCTGACTATATCTATCTATATATAGATAGGGCCAAAATAAGGTGTTACAAAATGGGACAAACATGGATATCAAGAAACTCTGATCAATTGTACTTTCAGGATCTCACTTATAACTACATCAGGCTCTTATTGCTTCATACAGGTAGGCCTGAAAAGCTGACTCTAAACAACAGAAATCTAATTTATGACATCTCCAGCTATTTTCTTACAGTTTCAATATGCCTAGAAAGTACTGTCTGTTAGAGGACATGCTCTACAATATATAGTGGAACTCTCAAAAAAATAAAAGGAAACCAAAATACTTGGAAGGTTTAGATGGCACTGCAGTGCTTCTGAAAACATATCTGCTTTATCACTTGCATAGCAGATATATGCACGGCTCTTTTTTGAGTTGGAGATGATTGCTTGGTCTCAAATGAAACTGAAAGACACAAGACACACATAGCATGAGGGAGTATCTGATAACCACCATTGCTCTCTGATTTATTATAAGGATCCAACTAGATGCTATATGCCACAATTGATATTTTTAAATGTGTGCACGCTGGATTGTCTTCACTTAAGCTAAAAGATACTTTACCATGTCCTTCCTGCAAAGCATCATCATTGCTGAAATAGTGAATTTTATAGGGAAATAAAAAGATATTTGCATACTTGAACCACTTTTTTACAGTTTTTTAAAACGTACTCCAGAAATTATCAGACTATTTATATTTACTGGCTTCATCTGTTTTACTGTTCTACAGCAGGCTTTTTATAGTCTATCTTGATAAAGGATCAATGTGTCTATGAGAGAATAAACAGTAGTCTTTACAATAAATAATATTTCAAGTCCAAAGATACTATACCTATAAAATAATCTAATGCTGTAATAGGATCTCCAAGATCAATTTCATTTTATATATTCTGCAGCAAAAATAACATTTCTAGTAGGAAGGAGTTACTTATAAACCTAGCAAGATCTAGACATTCACATATTTGTGTAAACAACTTAATAAGGTTTATTACATTTCCAGAAAGGTTAAGCTTTAACAGTAGGTTTTCAGCTAACTGTTGTCTTATATACTATAGTAAATATATGAGTGCTTATGTTTAGCACCATCACAAATTTATATGGGCAAAAAGAATGGAATGCCAGTAAAAGCATGGCAACTTTTTCTTCATTTCACAAGTGGTTATATCTGGGTGTAAACAGAATGTTAGAGCGAGGCATTCCAGATGAACTGCAGCTAAAGTTGGAGGATGGCACTTTCATGATGAACTGTGAAGGTCCTGGCAGTAAATACCTAGAATGATTACAAAAAATAATAGAAGAATTTAACTGGCAATGTAAGGCTCAAGGGCAAAGGAGTTAGTTATTCATATGCCATGCATAATAACCTTGGTATTTGAGACTTTATGTACTGCTTAAACAGAGTACTGTGCAGCAGGCCTTTACCTCAGATGATAAAGGAAATTATTTTAAGATCAATACACAACCTAGGCAAAACAAGAGCATACTATGAGTCAATCAAATATCTGGCCATTGATTTCTCATAATACTAAACATGGTAACATTCTGGCAATCAACAGACCTCATACAAAAAGCACACCTCACAAGCAAACTATCATCAAAAGTTATTATTAACCTTTCACCCGAAGATCACACTTATAATAGTATTTCTTTACCCAGTTTAAATATATATATAAAATGAAGTAGAAAGTGTTTAACTGACCTGTAAAAACTCATAGAGGATGTCAATAGCAGGGCCAAGGTAAAAACAGAGGAATCTTTAGCCCCAGGACACATTTGCACTGCCTCTAACCATACTAGGGAGCATCGCAGGGACATGCAGCATGCCCAATCTGCACGTACTATAGCCTGAAAAAATGGAATGTGATCACTGGCTGGTATGCACACACAACCACTATCAGGTTCTCAGTCCTAGACTTTTTTAAGGCACATGCCCAAAACTACTTTAACAGCAGTCACATTGCATTTTTTCATCATTTTGAACATGAGGAGTGGGAGCAAGTGGACAGGACACATTTTCATAGTCATATTTATTCCCTAGCAGTGTTGGAGGCGTGTAAACAGGTCCTTAGTTTCTTTTTCTAATCACTGGACTGTTTTCCAACCATTTTAAAAAGTGGTCATGCTACCCCTACTATCCAAGTAATGCAGACACGTAGGACTTCTGCAACCTACTGCTTCACCAGTAATTCATGACTCCATTAAAAAAATGTGACCTGTAATAATTTCTAACCTGTACTTCATAAAATACTACAAATAAATTAATCACAAGTTGTCTAATATTCATTCTTAAGCTTGTATCCTATTAACAGTTCCCAAAATTAGTTGCAGGAGTCATTAGATGACCACAATAAAAGTGTGCAAAACAACGTTCAGATTAAATCAAAAGTCCATAATGAGCTACATGCAGTGCTATAATAGATTACACATACCACACATCATGTAGTTTAGTGCTTAAAAATTGTTTCATTTTTCCAGATAATTACTGATTAATGACAAATGAAGACACTGAAAAAACAAAGATTGATCCTACTAAACCATGTGGATAGAAGCAGATCAGGATTCTTAAATGAGAAACATGAGATATCTAATAACTGTAAATGTTTGTTTAGTTTAGGCCCTGAGCAAAGCTATTATTTCAAGGGCAGCATTTTGCAGCATTTGAAAAGCCTGATATTGTGCAATGATGAGCACATCTTGATAGTTGCTGACCTGAAGATACTCTCTCTCAGAATTAGGCTCAGTGATTCTTGACAAAGAGCAAAAAGCTGGATAAATTCTGATGGGGTATTCAGTGCAACTGATCCCTGATTATTTGGCAGCCCTTGCCATGTTTCTTCATTTGTGGGAGAGGTGAATATATAATGCTTCAAAGATGAGCGGCTTTTGTCCTTTTTAAGGTTGTTTTAAGAGATTTAGGTCTCCCGATTAGGAGGAAAAAAATATGATTATTTTTTTCCTTCCTACAACATTTCTAATTTCATTTTAAAGTGCCTGAGCTTTTTTTATGCAACAAATGTCAATGAATTATTGTATTTTTCCCACCAAGAAAAGTAAAAATAGTTCTTGGACTTGCACTTGTGTGAGCTGCCAAAAATGAGAGATCATGGTATTACTTTCATCAAACTTCTCTCACTCCCTGTACAAATAATTAATTTTAAATAGAGATGCAGCTATTTGACAAATGTGCCAAAATTACATCAAATGGTAAACTAAAAATAGTTTCCTGATTCAGAAAGCTCACCAGAGCTATACAAATGAAACTTTACAAAATTATGAAAGTATGTGCATGCTGTATGTCAAAGACAGCTTTAAACTATACCCTGACCAGATGCTGTACTTTACAGGATTTTGCTCTATCATCACAATAATAAAAAAAAAAGGGAAATGCTTTTATACAGTTTTCTGGATATCTTAAAAATATGGATCCAGGCACAAGGTGAAATTACATAGCAATTATACCATTTTAAAGAAAATAATTTCTTAGTTAACTTGTCTATTTTAGGATAGGCTGGATCAATACAGGCAAACCCACCTTAAATACGAGTTTTTCTCATACAGAAAATAAGAAGCCCTTTCTATAAAACCAGAATGTAAGGGTTAGCTAAAGAATTAAACCAGTTGTACTATAAATGTAACATTTGTGAAGATAAATGCAGATTGTTGTGGCTTTTAATCAATCACAGTTTTCATGACAACTACACTCATAAAGACCTAAATCAGTGTCTTTGTTGTGGCTGACAAAGTTATCTAGAATTGAGGACTCAAAATTTGCTCATGTTTGAACTTGAGTAATAAACTGTCTTTGGACTTCAGACACACAAAAAACTGGAGCTGGAAAAATTATCCCTACATCATTGTTTTCAATTTCTTTGGCAAGACACGGGTGCCTGCTTCAGTATTTTCAAGTGACTTGATTTGTTTCACTGCTTGTGTTTGATTCTGATGGGGAAAAAAAGAGTTCTTTACTATTGACAGTGGAAGTGAGAATACCTTCAAGCTCAACTTTTCTGTCTTTCCCAATTCATATGAATTTAGCATTCTACTGACAGAGGTCATGTATAAGTTAATATTGCATATAGTTTGTTTTGTAGCTAAATTACCTCTACCTTTGCTGTGATCAAGCAACTTGTTTCAAGCTTGTATTAAATTATGTCAAAGCCCCTCAACATTCACATGACAACAGCAGATATCAAAGAACTATTTTAAGAGCTCGTTCAAGTGATTACATGGTAAACTAGTCTAATAAGAAATATAAAGGGTGTATCTTTACAGGTTATTAATACATTAATGCTTTAAGGAACAAACACTGTCTTTGCAAAGACCCATTAAATCTTTTCTTACATAAATAAACCAAACCTTCATATTGCCAGGGTAAAAGGACCTTTCAGTGCCCAGCTAACTTGAAACTCACCCTTCATTCTTCAGTTTAGGACCATTAAGTCACAGACCATTGGCTCCTATTATAGGGACGTTTCAGTAAGACGTACTGATGGTATTATAACCACGGTGCTACTCAGCTGAAGAATAAAACCAGTCTATGGGGAATTGGTAAGTGCCAAAATAGTTTTTGGTTTTTTTTTTTTACTATATGGTGCTGTTTTGCAAGGTTTTAAATATAAATACACTCTTTGAGATATAATAATAAATATAACCTTTTACATCTGCAGTTTTTAGAAGTCAACTTTGCAAAACTGTGCAATACAGTAAATCAGATGGCACTTACCTGACCACAGGCTGGAGCTAGGCTCCTGTGGGATCTCATAATGATTGTGAAGCAAGAAGCATAATATATATTAGGGACCTCTAAGAACACAAATCAGGAATCAGTGACTTTGAGATATCTGAGAATGGAAAGAAAGGAAAGTTTCAGTTAAGGACTGAGTGCCCTTCTTACCCTGGCTATTTGGGGCATTAACCAAATAAGATTTTATTGAGATAGTTTGAAATAATTCTGCATAGTAAGACCCTCCTTAAATCAGGAAAAAGAATTATTTGATTTCATAACCCCACTACCAAGGTTATAACGATAGGAACTATGATACACTTGTCCTCTGTGCTGCACAAATCATGAACGAGTTCTGTTGCTTTTCCCTAGGCGCAGAAGGGAGTGTCGCTGTGTAGTGCAAAAAGCTAATCATAAGGTCCACTATTTTTCACATAACTGAAAGTTTGGGAGATAAATACAGAAGCATATACCTGGTATCATCCCAATTGGGGCTAAATCCAGTCATAGATCCTCTTGAATCTGTTGAATACTTGTATACCACTAGCAGGCAGTGTTTACAAAGCTGCACTATTCGCTGACAACACTGGAGTTGCTCAGGAGTCACCACCTCCGTGCTTCTACTGAATATGGTTTCCCAAGAGCTCCTGTTGGCATAGAAACAGACATGACTTCATGCTTTCTGTCACAAATGGCAATCTAAGAGCTTTATTGCTGTACATCATGTTTAGTAATGGAGGAGCAAGAGAAAAAAGCATGACCTTGCCTGTTTACAGGAAAAGGCATATGTTATTTAACCCAAATACAGACAGATGGTGGGAATATAAAATACAAATTAAGAAGTTAATCTTCATATCTGAAAATGCGCACAAGCCATTTTTCATTCATTATGTCCCCTAAAGCTTTTATAGGGCCATTGTTTAGGTTCAGCACATAAAGATTTACTGCCAGATAATTTTAAATGGTATTTTACAACACAAAATACACAAAATACTGATTTATTTTTAACAAGCTACTATGAGAATACTCTCTAATGTGATGTCAAAGAAATTAATAAATGATGCTATATATACACATTTCAGAAGACCATGATATTAAGTATGAAGAACATAGCAAAAGCTACATATAGCAAGTGAATATAAATTTTCAAAATGCTATGCTTGGTTTCTGATTTTTAATAGGAAGGTAAACAAAAGCTTTTCACTTTTAATTTTGTCACCTGTTTTCAAACAATATTGAGAAAGCAGGTTCTCAGCCCAGCCAAGACACATAGCTCTACTTGGGCATTAGTATGGTCAAGACTATCCCCAAAATAGAAGATTCGAGAACTGTGACATCGGTGCATGAACTGGAAATCAGACAAGTAGAATCTAAGATATGTCTGTGTATAACTAATTGATTTTAAGGTACAGCACATTCACCAGCATGAAGCATATGTTCTAATGGAAAATGTTCTCTTCTCTAGCAGCACAAGAAAGAGCATAAAATAGGATTCATAAAACATTACCCTGGACAAGAAGATTTGAAAGATCTGCAAAGGTGGGTTCTGGGTACTCCATTACTTGCAGATCCACGAGATATGGAGATTACTCCTTAGGTTACATAAATAAGGCTTCAAAATCCTTTGAGAAATGCCTGATTTCATGTGCTGAGTTTTTGGACCATTTCCCCCACTTGCATGCGATTTTTTCAATGGAGTGGAATATGTGGACTCAGTTTAAATACGATTTAGGGCCATGGTGATATCTTATGAGCCTCAATGTAACATAATAAGATTCTCAACATTAACAAGAAATCCAAGAGATTATATATATGGGTGCACACATACACACACATACAGGCAGTCCTCGGACTTATGACAATTGGTTCTTGGAAACCGTGTTTTAAGTCAAAACGTTGTAACTCAGAAGCAATTTTCCCATAGGAAACAATATTATAAATGCGGGATTGGTTCCTGAACCAAGGCCCAATACTTTATTTTCACAGCAAAATAACCCAGAATTTTGTACTCAATCAATTATAGGTGAGTAATATAGATACATTAATGTATTTATATTGTAAATAGCTATCATATTGATTTGGAATGACTTCTTTGAGGTGACTTTGCTGGACTTTTTGAAGGGCTCTTGGTTGGAGTCTTCTCAGGAGTCTTGGCTGCAGGGTTTTCTGAAGTCTTGTCTTGTCTGCTTTCTTAAAGAAAGTGTCCAAGGAAGTTTGGACAGATGTTCTCCAGGGAGATGGGGGACGCAGCCAACTTGTTCACTGGCGTGGCGTGGCGTTGGATCAAGCATTGTAAAGTCAAAACTGATGTTATAAAGTTGAAACAGGGTGTCAATTTATAAATGTTGTAAGTGCAAAATGTTGTAACTCAAAACACTGTAAATAGAGGACTGCCTGTACATATATATGGAACTTCTTAAGTGATAAAGTGGCTATTGATTTCTCCTACCTACCTACCTAGGCTGAGTTTTATTTAGGGTGGTATGTATGTGTGTAAGTCTCTTTTCCTTGCTATGTAGATCCAATTCACACACATTACATTCAAGTAGGAACGGGGGGCTCTTTTCTTAGGAAATGTAGTATTTTCATTTTTCCTCAACATCCTGATACTTTTATTCCCTTGTGTGAAGGAGAAATCAATAGCCACTTTGTTATTACTTCAGAAGTTCCAGTAAGACAATGAAGGACATGTCATGCTGCAGCATTCAATATTGTACCTTATCTGTAGTTAAATATATATATATTTAATCAAAGTAGGCTTATCACTCTTCTGTTTCATCTTTATATTTTTTACTGTCTATTAGTACAAATGTATAATTAGTTAAAAAGCTATGTCAGGATTATAACACAGAGATTTTATTCATGAATATGCCAAGAGCAGAAGCATCCAGAAACAAGACAGACAGGCAGGGGCAGGACTGCAGGACAGTGACAGCACAGGGCCATGCAGGGAATGGACTGCCTTGAAGACCCCACCCTTCCACCCACTCCATCCAGTGTCCCCAGATAGAATCAATTGCCCCCACCATGCCAGAGCTAGGCCAGCACCCGCCACCATGCCGGTTGACCACCACCCCGCATTCCTCCCTCCCACCGCCCCATGGCCCACAACAGCTCATCAAAACTCCTTAAGTGGCCCTCCAGCCCAAATAAATGTCCACCCCTGTAACAGTTTGTCTGGTGAGAAGGTAAGTACTAATGATAGCCTTAAGTATGTACATTACATGTAGGGCAATTTTAACAGCCATACAGCATAGAGGTTTTGTACATCTTTTTAGACAGGATCTGTCACAAAACAACTTATTTTAGAAGGAACAGAATCTGAAATTTAGTTCAGCTCCTGAGGCAGCTGAATTTCACAGATGAAGATCTTGTTCTAGATGAAAGAATCTATTCCTATATTAAAGATCCTGCTCTTGACTGAAATATTCAGCTAGCTTAAGAACTGTGATCCTGAACTCATTCAAAAGTAAAGACGATCAATTTTTTTTAAACAAGAAACTTTTGTTGGTGAAAAGAAAAAATCTGAAATGAAAGATTTCCACAAAAATTATGTTAAAAGCAAGAGATCCAAACCCACCACCTTGTTTAAAGCAATTTAACTAAAATATTAATATTACACAACACAAGAAATTAAGTGAACCTGAAATCACAACTCCAGAAATGTATTGGGGATGAAGAGAGTTCATACTTCCATAGGGAGCTAAAAGGAGGACATAATTAAGGCTGGTAACATACAGCCATTTGCTAACTGTACTCTGAAACATTCACTGGTGTGGGAGAGTGCTAATATAATCCTAATGGGTGTTGTTTTCTAGACATGACTGACACTAAGAAGCATCCCTTTGGAGGTGATTTTGGTGTAACAAAGAAATCAATCTCTGGATATTTCCAGTAGCTTCATATCATTTATAAGATGATAGGGGAAAAAACCCCAAACCTTAGTCAATTAGAGAAATAATCCTAAAATAAAATAAACAGACCATATTTTGGGACAGACTCACAATATGCTGAGTTTATTGGTCTTAGTATATTTTTTTCTTCTTTCTTTTTCTGCACTGTGTTGGACATATAGACAAGGTTTCTTAGGCTACAGACATTGCATTTGCTCTGGAAGAAGCCACTGTATTTTGGGACAAAGTGAAATCACTCAGATGTCCATGCCCATTGTTTTATTGTCCTAGGACATTCCCTAAAAAGTGCCATGGGACTAAGATGTGCCAACAGATGGTCCTAGGACATCAAAGTGCATCTGAATGGTTGCTTTGGGATCGCATCACCAAATCAATAGCAGAAAAGTGGTAGCACCTTCAGCCAATTGGAAGGGTGATGTGTATACACAAAAATCATGGAACTTTTCCATTCCAGCACAAAAACAGAAGCACAATATGTCCCAGGACAAATGCAACATCTGTTCCTAGCGTTCTTAACATAAATAAGTGCACTACATTAATTCTCTAAAAATGACTGTATGTAAAATACATATTAATTCCTTTTGTACATATGAAATCCTTCATACTATGTATATTTGCTGAAGTTCATTTTTAATAAATCTCTTCTGAATCCTCTTATGCAAGCTAATCAAAAAACTTCCTATTAATCATTCACTGCATATAATTATAGAGAAACTTAAGTGCACTCTATATATGATATATATTCATACATTTACACTTTTATTTTATGAGAGGAAAAAAGGTCTTTGGCATTTTATTTTTTGATATATACACAAAAGTTCCTCCTACAACAAGGTAAGGTTTCAGAACAGAGTAATTAGATTTTTTTAAAATGGCACATTATTTTCCAATAAACAGACTTTCTTTCCAACCAAAATAAATATTTCATTACATGTCTGCATCACAACTTTTTACTTTTCACTTATATTTTCACCATTATTTCAAGTATACGTGAAGAGCAAACAAAATGCCATTCAGAAATTCTGTTTTATTGGTCGTAACCCATACATCTGTGCATTTGCAGTGTAATGTCAGCCAAGCCCTTGACTGAATTATCCCTCTTTTACGCTAGGGATCAAATAAATAAGGCCAAACCTAGATAGATCAAATCATAATTTTTTCAGTAGGCGCCTAATGTGAAGGCCATAATCTGGGCACCCAAAGGAGTGGTTTGATTTCAAAAGTGCTGAGTATTGAGAAGCTCTCACTTAACCACTGCAGTTCAGCACTTCTGAAAATCAGATTGCTTGCTTAGCTGCCTGCATATGATTATAGGATCCAAACTGTTCATACCCATTACTGAAATGCTTAACCTGTGTTATTACGTTTCAAATTGCACATACCTTAGATTGTTTTAAAACCAGTTCTAAACAACATAATAATTTCTTGAAAGGAAGCATTACATTTTTACCAACCCTGTGTGTACTTATAAAGTTATTAAAAAAAATTAGAACAATAAATATATTTAGGCCTACCCTGAATTACAGAAACAGTTCCATAGGCCTTGGCCATGGCTCCAGAGCAAACGACTGAACACACGGTTAAAAATACAGTATAAATGTAAACTTTCAATGTCCGAAACCCTCCAGACACGTTGTAGAACAGTGCGAACGCTTGTCCTGACTATGTCCAAAACCTAGAAAAGAATATTTTAAGCAAATCAACATACTTTAAAATCTAGCATATTTAACAAAACCTCAGACCCAACATCTCTTAATTCACTGAACAGAAAGAAAATGTAGAGAGATAATCGCACAGCATTATCACTTGTAAATTTCAACAAGCTGCTACATTTCATTTCTGCATATGTTGTGGCATGCATTTTCCATCAAAGCCATTTTGCAAGAAAACCAACCAAAAATTTTCATTATTACATGATGTCATTTTTTCACTTCCCCCAATAACTAGCCAGTTAAAATAATAGCAAAACAAGTAAAAAGAGAAAACGAAACAGGTACACAAAGAGAGATAAGGAGCCTTATCTTAAGAAATAGTGAATGCTGCCGAAGTGGTTTCCCCTAGCTTGAATAGCACCTGCTCTATAGAGGACTGACTAATCCTGAGTGGCTGAGCTCACACAATCTACATGGACTTCAAAGTGTATTACAGGTGCATAGCACTACCCAAAATCAGACCTTAATATCCTGCCTTTATTTGAGTCTGTTTTTATGCCTGAATTAGTACAAGGAAACTTGAAATAAGGCCTCATTACTCAATACTTCCAATATGAATGCAGTTTCTGGAGAAGGGAATAAGGAAAAGATGAAACCTGGAAATTTTTGCACAGCATGTAAATCCTGTCTTTTTCTCTCTCTACTATGAGTTTTAGCCAGATGTTTAAATCTGCCTTTCTATAATGTATACATACCCCAGTCGACTCTAACATATGTACTCACTAATTAGGAATGATGTCCAGGTCTACTCTAAGACACACTTGTGTAACTCCCTTAGAATTCAGTGGGAGTTGTGGGTAGACTAACTTGCATCTTTTCATATATCCATAAAGGATGCATACATTGGGGAGGGGGGAGAGGGAAGTTATAGCATGTTAAAATTGGCCACCCAATTTAACTTAGTCCACCCAGGTGCAGACCTTACGTTTAGATCCCTAATTCAGTTGATCTAAGTGCAAACTGTATAGAAGTTTCAGGAATGCTAGATAGGTCTAAAAATGACCGACTCGATCTAAGTTACCCCTACCTCTGAGGTAATCTAACTTAGATTAGGTTGACCATTTTCAAACTATTCTAACTGTCCCAAACTTTTGTACAATTCCCAGCACAGCCCCAGGGCTGGGAAAGCCCAGCTGCTGGCCTCAGCCCGAGCTGTGCTTTTCCTATCCACCCCTCTAGCACCAGGCTATTTTTTGGCCCTTCCAGCCACTCACCCCACCTCCAGATAAAACCCTCCAATGGACCAGCCAGCCCCCCCATCCCTACTCCAACCCACCAAAACCCCCAGCCTGCAAGCTGCTCCCTCACTGTGCCAGTTTTATCAGAGTTTCCCAATGCTGGGAGCTGAGGAATGAATTCCTGATGTTGGGAGGGGCAGGAGGGATGGGGGTAAGTTCACTGGGGGGGGAGGGGAGTGGGACTCAGGGGGCTAAAAATAGCCCCTGGGTCTGAAGAATGGGAAAGACAGATCCTGCACTCCCTCAAACCTGCCCCTGCAGACCCACATGCTCTCCCCCCTGACCTGTCAAACCCTCCCAGACCCCTGAAATCCTCCTGAGGACACTATCTGCTCCACTAATCCCCCAATCTCCTCGTGGATCTCACCTGACCCCCCCCCCAT